GAGGAGGCTTCCCTGGAACAAACCCGCCCTCCTTCTTCTGCCCCTCGCCGCTCCCACCTCGGTGCCTGCAGAGGAGGCTTCCCTGGAACAAACCCGCCCTCCTTCTTCCCCGCACACAGCTGAAGCGGCTCCCACCCTGGGGCCATTGACCAGGCTGCGAACTCCCACCCACGCCTTGGCATCTGGGCCATTGTTACTGACGGTAGCTGGGCCCGGCTCGGGGGCTTCACACACGCCTCCCCACCCAGCAGCCCTAGGAGGCAGGACTGTCACCACCCCCACCTCAGCAGGCAGCGCAAGCAGCACAGCCAGGACCCAGACCGACCCGGCCACAGCACCCTCCCGCTGTACCACGGGACTGCACCGTCCACAGGGCCACTCCTGCCCCTCGAGAGTCCCTCCAGGCAGGCCAGGCCAGGACTGTGCTCTGGAATGCAGCCCACGCAGGGCTCCCTGCTGCAGGGGCCAGGGCGGTGCTAAGCGGTGGTCCGACAGCTCCCACCCACCAGGGCCTGTGCACCCGCAGTGCCCAGCCACCACCACAGGGAGGTTGGCGATGACTCAGGCCTTGAGTCAGCAGCGTCGGAGGAAGGCGCAGCCAAACCTCTGCTGGTACAAGAAAGCCCAGGAAGGCCCAGCCTCTGCGAGCTGGGCCAGCAGGATCCCTGGCTGGAACTGAACCAGGCTCAGCAGCGCTCAGGGGACTGGAGCCCAGAGCCACCTCCCAGGGAAAACGCACGCACACATGCACACGCATGCACTCAGAGGAGGCCTGCCATCAGGGTGGGTGCGGCTGAACTAACACCAGCCCAGGGAAGAGAAACCAGAACTGATGGGGCGCAGTGGGCAGCGAGGCGGTGTCTCGGCCAGAGGGGCTCACTCAGGCTGTGGAGCGCCCTGTGCTGCCTAAACAGAAACTCTGCCAGGCCAAGGAACTACCAGCTGACTCACTCTCCCAGCAAGCAACACCGGCTCCTCCCCGAGCCAGGCCCTAGAAGAGAGACTGACCTCTCACACTGCCATCTGGGTGGTGGCACCAGGCTGTGAAGGATCCACACACTGGCACATGCAGGAAGAAACAGGGCGGGCGAGGGGCAAGGACCCCAACAAGCAGGAGCAGGTCAGGGCCCTCCCCGCACCCCACTGTGGCAGGGGCCCACCAATGCCCCGTGCTCACCAACCAGAGCACTGCAGGTGAAAGGTGAGAAGAGGAACACAGAACATTCTCCTGGATGCCACCCACAGGAAGCCACATACAGGCTTGGCCCTCACCCTGGGGACATTGGACACATCTGGCTCTCAGGGCTGGGGGCAGCATCTAGGACTCCTGATGCAGAAGGCACACGAGCACCAGCGCCCCCCTCAGCAAACTCCATGTCTCATGAAATTAGGACAGGATTTCTACTTTATTTTGAAAATATGGCCAAGGTAAGAGGTCAGGAACTACAAGGCCAAGCTGGGGTAGCCGAGAAGGTGGAGGGGTGGCCACAAGCATCAGAGTGCGAGGAACCCGAGGGCAGCATGCGGGCGGAGCGGGACAGCCTGGGGTTCACTCTAAGGCACCCCTGGAGAGCCAGGGCAGGCAGGACAGGTGAGGATCGGGGCTGGAGCCCACGACACCCCACTGGTTGCTCAGCATGGCTGACCCCTGGCCACACCGGGCCTGGAACTCAAAGTCTAACTGGGGAGCCAGGCAGGGAGCCAGGCCGGAAAACGGATGCTTGCAAGAGAACATTCCAGGCTGAGGCTCTGTGGAAGGAAGGGAGCAGTCACTCTCCCAAGGCCGGAAGTGGGAGGGGCCGGAGTCTCCAGGGAGGGAAGGAGGGGCTGGAGGAGTTCCCTGGGTCCCAGAGGAGCCAGCAGCCTGTGCAGTGGCATGGGAAAGACCCCGTTTCCTGGTGGGGAATTGACACAGCCAGTGTATGTGGAGTCAGATAGGGTTTGGGGTTCTTGGTTATTTTTAACACGTACGTCTCCCTGCTATTCTACAGGAGAAAGGGAACGCTGTGCTGGGCGCTCAGGAAGATGCAGGAAGGAGGTCGCAGTGTGGGGAGGGACAGGGAGGACCTAGGGCTGGGTCAGAGCCCTGCTGAGGGCCTTCAGGAAGGAAGCACTGTCTCCCCTCTGGAATCTGTCACTTGTCATCTGGAAGAGCTCAGGAGCAAATGGGTTCCTTTCCATGAAAAAAGCATGGCAGCTGGGGCTAAGCAAAGCTGAAACTGGCAGATGAGGGGGCCCCGACGAGCAGGTGGCTGCCTGCAGGCCAGTGCGGGGAGGACACATCCAGAATCCAGCATCACCTGACAGCAGGTCCCATCACGGTGGGAAGTGACATGGACGAGAAGAAAGAGTCTGATCTATTTCCAAGCTAGCAGTGAAACTGGGAGGTTCTGTAAGAACTGGGGGCCAGGCGTGGTGGTCCACGCCTGTAATCCCAGCACTTTGGGAGGCCTAGATGGGTGGATCACCTGAGGTCAAGAGTTCAAGACCAGCCTGATCAACATGTAGAAACCCCGTCTCTACTAAAAATACAAAAAATTAGCAGGTGTATCGGCGCATGCCTGTAATCCCAGCTACTCAGGAGACCGAGGCAGGAGAATCTCTTAAACCCGGGAGGCGGAGGTTGCGGTGAGCCGAGATCACACCATTGCACTCCAGCCTGGGCAATAAGATAGAAATTCTGACTCAAAAAAAAAAAAAAAAAAGGCAGAGTGCAGTGGCTCATGCCTGTAATCCCAGCACTTTGGGAGGCCGAGCCGGGCAGATCACCTGAGGTCAGGAGATGGAGACCGTCCTGGCTAACACAGTGAAACCCCATCTCTACTAAAAATACAAAAAATTAGCTGGGCATGGTGGCATGAGCCTGTAGTCCCAGCTACTCAGGAGGTTGAGGCAGGAGAATCACTTGAACCTGGGAGGTGGAGGTTGCAGTGAGCTGAGATCACGCCACTGCACTCCAGCCTGGGTGACAGAGTGAGACTCTGTCTAAAAAAAAAAAAAAAAAAAGAACTGGGGAATTACTACCTTAAGTCAGGAGTGCTCACTGTGAAACCAAGCCCTCACCTAGGGGAAGGGTCACCGCAGCAGTGGCAACTCCTAAAACTCTCACCTCCATCCTGGGCGAGCGCAGCCTCTAGGAGGGAAGTAAGTCAGCCAGCCCTAGGACTATCGCGTCTGGGTTAAACTGAAGGGTTGTCTGTGTGCTGGGTCTGCGCTAGTGACTGGGGCCTTCACAGTGTTGGGTGTGCCTGGGGCAGCCCAGCGTCACACGGTCAGACGGCACTCAGGGCGGGGCTGGAGGGCGATGCCCTTCCCTGGGCCTCAGCGTGCCCTGTAGAGTGGAGGCCCTGGTGCCCACCTCACATGGCAGGGAGGGTGGAAGGAGACCCCGCGTGCTGAGCGCCCACACT